CTATGCTTCTATGGTAGACAAAGCAATTATCGATTGTAGAGTCGTCTTCCAACTTATGACACTACCTGAAAGAGTGAATATATAACCTGTCAGAGATCGTCTCTTATCCAAATCACTCGCATAATCTGACTCAGGATAGCTAAGTATTCTGCAATCTGAGTCTGTGTTCCTGTCAAAATACAAACACATATTAGCAGATTCTCTCAAATATCTAAGTATCAATTTCACAGCCAGTCAATGGATCTTTCCAGGCTTATCCATGTACCGACTCACAACACTAACTGCATGTGAAATATCTGGACGGGTGCAGACCATCGCATACATAATGCTTCCAACTACACTTGCATAAGGAACATAAGACATATACTGCTCCTCACTCTGAGATGACAAATCTACTGAAAGACAAAAATGAGCAGCAAGCGGAGTCTTCACAGGCTTGGCATCAAGCATGCCAAATCACTCAAAACATCTTCTTGATGTATTTCTCCTGAGATAGGAATAAACTTCTTTCTTGCCTGTTCCTGTGGATCTCCATCCCTAAAATATTCTTTGTTGCTCCGAAGTCTTTCATCTCAAACTCATGTTTGAGTTGAGATTTTAACTTGTTGATTTCTGACATATCTTTAGCTGTAATTAACATGTCATCAACATACAAAAACAAATACACAAAAGAACCATCATTGAGCTTTTTATGATAAACACAACTATCATATTTACTCCTAGAGTAACCATGCTCAAACATGAAAGTATCAAATCTCAAATACCACTGCCTCGGAGATTGTTTCAACCTATAAAGAGATTTCTTCAACCTGCACAAATGGTCTTTTTTATCTTCAACAATGAACCCCTCTGGCTGATGCATAAAGATATGCTCCCCAAGCTCGTCATGTAGAAAAGTTGTCTTCACATCAAGTTGCTCAAACTCCAAATTATCATGAGCAACCATGGCAAGCAACGTGCGGATTGAGGTGTGTTTTACAACTAGAGAGAATACTTCATTGAAGTCCACACATTCGGTCTGACCGTAGCATTTAGCTACCAAGCACGCCTTGTACCTTACAGAATTTGTATCCGGAACTCCTTTCTTCTTGAAGATCTATTTACAGCCAACGATTTTCTGTCCCCTTGGTGGTTTCACTAGCTCCCATGTCTGATTCTTGTGAAGAGACTCCATCTCTTCAATCATCACAACAGTCCAATTTGCAGCCTCATTGCCACTAATAGCCTCCTTATAGGTAAAAAGCTCTGGAATCTCAATCGATTCTGCTATACTCAAAGCATAAGCATGTCTACATAGCGTTGAGGAGGTCAGATCTGTCTTTTTATTCTCCCGGTGTTAATATTATATTATTGCTCTTGTGGTGTATCAGCATCTGAAATTGAACATTTCGCAGTATCAACTGGTTCAACATGAGCGCCCTCAAGCACTCTCTTTAAAGCTGAACTCTCTAGCTCCACCTGCTTGCTAGACTCCTTTTTAGTACCTGTAGTGTCAATAAAAAAATTCTTTCTTGGGTGAAGCATGGATTTCTCATCAAAAGTGACATCCCTACTAATAATAAACTTAGATGATTTAGGATCAGAACACCATAATCTATATCCCTTCACCCCAGTAGCATATCCTAAAAAGATAGTTTTCTTTGCTCTAGGTTCAAGCTTACCATCATTAACATGAAAATAAGCAGAGCAACCAAATACTCTTAAATAAGAGTATTTAGCAGAGGCACCAGACCATACCTTCTCTGGAGTCTTAAAATCAATTACTGTAGAAGGAGATCTGTTTATCAAATAGCAAGTTATATTGACTGTCTCGGCCCAAAAGTCTTTTGACAAACCGGCATTAGAGAGCATGCACCGAGCTCTCTCTAAAAGTGTTTTGTTCATCATTTTTGCAACTCCATTTTGCTGTGATATATGTCGAACTGTACGATGACGCACAATACCTTCATTCTTGCTGAACTGGCCAAACTCTGTGGAACAAAACTCCATCCCATTGTCGGTTCTGAGGCGCTTCACTTTCTTTCCTGTTTGCTTCTCAATCATAACCTTTCATTGCTTGAAGGTTGCAAACACATCACTCTTATGCTTCAAAGGATGCACCCAAATTTTTCTGGAATAATCATCAATCAATGTTAGCAGAAAACGAGCTCCACCTTTCAATGGAACCTGAGAGGGACCCCAAACATCTGAATTGATATAATGTAAAGTTTCATTAGTTCTGTGGACATCGGTACTAAAGGATACTCTATGGTGTTTACCGAAAACACAACGGTCACAAGAGTCTAGCTTACTAATTTTCTGACCACAAAACAGACCTTGTTTGCTTAACACATCTAGTCCTCTCCCACTCATATGCCCTAACCGCATGTGCCATAAACGTGTAGTGTATGAATCTGAATCCTCTGAGGATGACACTGCTGCAGCAACTGTCACTGTACTGCCTTCAAGGATATAGAGGGTATTTACCTTCACTGTTTTAAAAAACCTCCGTCTAGCCCGCTTAGGCGTACGCCTAGGCCTAGGCGGTACCTAGGTCACCTAACTAGCGCATAACGCCTAGGCGGTATTTAGGCTGCCCACCTAGATTTTACGAGCGTTTAGGGGAGCATTGTCTGCTTACGTGGATTGTACCCTGTAGGCCTTGATTATGATTTTATGTGTCGTAGCCTACACGTCTTCCAAACTCCATTAACCTCCAAATATGAACATCTCCACTACCTCTTCCGACCTTCAGCAAAACCTCATCGACCACCACTTAAATGAAGAAAGAAAAAAAAACACCCAGAAACCACTTAGGCGCCCGCCTAGGCGACTAAGCGCTGGGCGTCAAGTCCGACGCCTAGAAGCGCCCAACGTTTAATGTAACATTGTTTACCTTCTTTCCTTTCATCACAACAAGAGAGCCTTTACTTACTCTCAAAACTCCACCTTCAGCCGAAAACTTAAAACCATTTGAGTCAATGCTCCCTAAAGAAATAAGGTTCTTCTTTAACTCTGGAATATGACGGACACTGCTCTATGTTCTAACAATACCATCATGGGTTCTAATCTTAATTGATCCGATATCAACAGTCTTGCAAGGCATGTTATTTCCCAACAAGACATTCTCACCATCGATAGATTGATATATGACAAACCAATCCCTATGCGGACACATATGGTAGAAACAACCTGAATCAAGAACCCACTCATCTTGTGAATGAGTATTAACACTAACTGAAAGAACTTCATGTGAATTAGAAGACTCTTCAGTTACAATGGAAATTGTAGATTTTACCTCTCCAGACTTCGACTGTGAATTATCTTTTACTTTGAGCGCTGGACAATTAGGTTTTATATGTCTATATTTGTGATAGTAATAACATTCAACATTTTTTCTTGGCCTGGACTTTGATCTAGACATATTTCTTGACTTGCCTCTACCATCAACATCCTTTTCATGACGACCACGAGCGAACAAGCCTTCAGCTTGATCCCCTCCTCCTACGATAGACACTTTCTCCTTAACTCTTTTGAATGTAAGGCTGATTTGACATCCTTCAAAGAAAGTGTATCTCTACCGTATAACATGTTATTGACAAAATTTTCATAGGAATAAGGTAATGAACATAACAAGATGAGGGCTTGATCTTCTTCGTCAATTTTAACATTAATATTCTTTAAATCCATAAGAATAGTGTTAAGTTTATCTAAGTGGTCTTTAATTCGCATACCTTCCTTCATGCGAAGGGTGAAGAGGCGTTGCTTCAAGTAAAGCTTGTTCGTTAGAGATTTCGTCATGTACAAGCTTTCCAACTTGAGCCACAACCCGACGACAGTATCTTCATTTGCAACCTACCGCAGGACCTCATCGGCCAAACAGAGTTGTATGGCACTATGCGTCTTTATCTTCAGCTCTTCTTTTTAATCATCGGGCATAGATTCCGCTAACTTATCTTTTCCGGACAAGATTTTGAACAGTCCTTGTTGTACTAAGAAAGCTCTCATTTTTACTCTTCACAAACTGAAGCTGTTTCTCCCATCAAATTTCTTCACTTTGTATTTTGCAGAAGACATCTTGAAATCAACTAGAACAGTAACTGTATTTATGAATAGTAATCCTATTTGTGAACAGTGACCATACGTATGAATAGTAACAGTACGTATGAATAGCAACAGTATTTTTGGATAGTACCGCACTCGTGAATAGTACCTAGTGCCTTTAAAGTGTAAATGATAATCTAACTTATTTTCTGATGTGAAGGATCCACTTTTAATGGCAACCACAGAGTATACGATAAGCAGATACACTTTCTAAGCAGACTATACCGGTTGGTCGGTGGGTGTTGAAAAAACCTTCAAGGGCACGTTTAACATATAGTGGCAGGATACTCCTAATAGATGATCATTTATGTCTTTGTGAACCCGACATTGTACTTATAAACGTTTAGGTATGACATTACCGATGACTAGCTACTTTAAAAAACTACAGATTCCTTCCTACTGATAATGTACTCTTTTATGCCTGCAGTCTCGCTTTCTATCATCATTTATAATTTTTTGATCCAACTTTTTTTTCAGAGGAAAATTTGATTTAACTTGAAACTAACAGGACTCATATTAACTTTGATTAGACTTTGAGTTATCCGCTGGAGTGTCATAAGATTACTTCATTTCATTTAAGCGCTTACTTAATCTACATGTTTATATTGTATTATATGTAACATGTAAACGGCAAACATAAATGCATATCTAGTGGTCATGGATACTTAGCCTACATGTTTATATACATTAAAAATGCCTGTCGAAATGGAACAATCAACCCTATCTAAATCTTTAATCTGGTGAGTTATGGAACATGAACCAAGTGCTCAAACCTTGCTAGCTATTATGCTAACTTGAGATTCTTTTTAATTGTTTGATTAAGGAGACAAGTCAAAGGTTTGATATAGAAGACAGTAAATATAAAACTAACTATAACCTGGGACTAAACTTAAACTCAATTGATCTATGAATTCCAGCAAGAAAGAGCATGATGTAGGACAGGGGAAGAAGCACAAGAAAGGCATGCTCATTGTCGATAAGCTGAAGGTGGTTCAAAATCAAAAGAGAAAACTATGCTTTAAATGCGGGGATCCTGGGCATCTAGCTCGTCATTGCTCTAAAGAGGTATTCTTTTAATTATTTTGATCGATTAGCTTATTTTACGTTCTAAATCTTGGATTTCTGACTGATGAAAATTTCCATATTGTGGTACCCAAGTGTGAATTACAATATGTGATGGTATTTAGGTTTCTCATTCTCCTATTTTATGTGTCGCAGATTGAGAAGCATCTGCCCAACCAGCAAGAGACAATGGAGATTTCAGAAGACAATTCCACATTACAACTTGACACAGAAAATAAGAATGAAGAACAGGCTAACCCCTTGACATCTCCAAGGTACACATGCAACCAGGGTGTACCTGGTTTCTTCATGACATTACCAGCAATTATTTAGGATCTACCATCAGTATTGTTAATGTTTCTTGGAAAAGGCAAAGTGAGTTTATCACAATAGGGCGACTTGTTTAGCTTGATATGGGAAATTTGATTTAGACTAGTGACAATATATTCACTATTTCTTCTGAACAAGTTTTTAGTGCATTTATGATTTATAGAAACATATCAAAATCTTTTATTTAGTGACGTCTGGAACCAAAACCAAGTGCTAGAACCTTGCTAGCTGTTATTCTAATCAGAGGTTCTCTTTTAGTTGTTTGATTAAGGAATCAACTCAAAAGTTTGAAACAGAAGATAATAACTATATATACGAATAAATATAACCTTGGACTCAAGGTTTTAAATATCGGTTAGAGGAAATATATCGGATGGCCAAAATTCATATAGGATTGTGGTTGTAGGGGATATATCGAGGATAAGTAGTACAAACCGGAGTGTCATATCGAATGGTGAGCATATATAAAATAATGGCCTAAAATATAATCTAAGCACACTTAATGAAATGTAAACATATCAAAAAGCCTTCAAGAGAGGACTTAGGGCTATCAAGTGATTGAACTTAGGGAGATAGCGAAGGAGGCGGAGAGAAATTAAAGCTTGCTGCTCTAAACATGATAGCAAACAATGAGAGGGATCGGTGGTTTTGATTTTATTCAGCGGGTATCGGGTTCTGGTCTGAAGAATAAGGGTTTTGGGACCCAAAATCCAACCAATAATTGGGATGTTTTTTTTTTTTGATAAAATCAGCAATTTAGACCCATAAAATGCGGTCTATTAATAGGATTTTCACCGATATATCGGAGGAAATCGATAAAAACCATAACCTATTTCATTTTTTAGAAATCGTATCGACAGTGGTCCAAACCCTATCTATCGGCAATATATCGATAAAATCGGTCGATATAGGATTTATAATGATATCATATACGAACAAGATAGCAATTACACAATTTTTGGGAGCCAAAGTATAAGTTTATGAGTAAAATTCTATAGGAGAAATCTTTGAAAAAGACCATTTTTAACATTTAATTAGCAAAATCGACCATAAACTTATTTAATTAGCAAAATCGATCATCTTTCAGCCATGTCAACACAAGTGGCTGAAAATTGGTCGGTTTTGCTAAATAATAGAGTTTGGACTAGCAGTCCCGTGTTTCATGCAAAAATTAATTACGTAGTGTTGGGTAAGAACCAATCTTTTGGATTTTAAAAAGATTATTTGTGGGGCTCAAGTCAATGGTTAAGAGATTTGTTACATAAGTTTCATAGATAGGCATATTTGGTGGGCCCCACTAAGGAGATTGGGTTGATGAGTTTCGAGGGTATGGGTGGGCCCCATGAGAGAGATGTGAAAGTACATATGAATTAATTATTGAGGCTTGGTTCTCAATACCAATAGGATAGGCAGAAATGGTGTGCAATTAATTACACGGGACTAGCAGTCCCGTGTTTTTCAACGACTTAAGTTTTGCAAATTAATCAACTTTCAGCCAACTATGCTAGCATGGCTGGAAAAATGTAAATTTTGCTAATTAAATAAATTTATGATCGATTTTACTAATTCAATGTTAACAATGGTTTTCTTCAAAACTTTCTTCAATTCTATATCGTTTGAGTCATTGCCCACACCTTCCAACAGGCTTAGGTAAAATTCACTTAATAGCTACAAAGAATCCAATCTGGACCTAGTTTCTTATTCATTTTCTTTTCTGAGAAAAATATGGATATCTAACATGTTTAAAGTATGGACATGAATTAGTGCATGTTTAATTCTTTGAAATATTAGAATATATTTGCATACTATATCATGTCGTATCTTGATTGATCACAAGGTTGTATTGTGTGGCTTTAATATTTTTTTCTTTATTATGATTGTTCTAAGTAATCTCCAACAAAAAAGGACTTAGGGGATGGGCTGGAGTGTAAATGTAGACTAATTATTGAATCGTCTCAGTCCCCCCTCCCAACAAAACCTGATGGGGAGAAAGGCCTGGGAGCTATTATTATGATCGGGGAAGAAGCTTTCGTAAAGAGAGAAATGATCCTCGTGAAAGCAAACTATCAACCTCCTATGAAGGTAGGAAGAATCCTACTGTATAGAGCTCCATCAATTCCATCTCTTACATCTTAATCCTAATCGGAAATCTTTGAGGAACTCTCAAATTCATATCTATGGATATTGAATCTCGAGGGTTAGAGCAGGCCAAAGAATAAGTAAACTAACCTAGTCACAATTGGGCACCTCCCGAGGGTAGTTAGGCTGTAATACAGTTTGGATCATCACCTTGGTGTATGCACCTACTGGCTAATATAATCTGGTTCGATTTTACTAAACCTTGAATGTAGTTAATATTTGTGGATGGTGTAAATATGCTCTGTTATCAAGTGGTTAGAAGTCTAATAAAAGACTTGTTGAAGAAAATCCTATGGATATTGCTTATCCTAAACTTGCATATGATCACCTTTATATGTGAGCATACAACCACCACCACCAAGCCTTTATCCCAAATATTTGGAGTCGACTACATAAATCTTATTTTCCCATTCTATTCTGTTATGGGTCATCTCCTCCGTTAAGTTAGTCATAATCGAATCCTTCTTAATTGTTTCTAACTAAATCATTCTAGGTCTACCTCTAGATTTCCTAGCCCCGTTAACTCTAATATTATCGCTTTTCCTAATTGGCACACTAAGAATCTCCGTTGTACATAACCAAATCATCTTAATCTATTCTCTCTCATTTTATCTTTAATAGGAGCAACCTCTAATTTACTACGGATGCACTCATTTTTTATCCTATCTTTTAATGTATACCTACAAGATTATCGCAACATTCTCATTTTTGCTACATTTATTTTTTGAACATGTTATTTTTTAATTGTCCAACACTCTGACTTATAAAGCATAGTTGGTCTTATAACCGTCCTATAGAATTTTCTCTTTAGTTTCATAGTATTCTATGATCACATAAGACTCCCAAAGTACTCCATTTCAACCATCCCGATTTGATTCGATACATAACATCATCATTTATCTCATCATCATGCCTAATGATTGATCCTAAATAGTGAAAATGATTAGTTTTAGGTATTCATTGGCCATCAATATGTATCATAGGCTCTTTTCATTTCCTAGTTTTACTAAAAATGCATTCCATATATTTTGTTTTTGTTCTACTAATTCTAAAATCTTTAGGTTCAAGAGTTTGTCTTCATCTTTCTACTTTAGAAATAATATCTCTTCTAGTTTCTTCAACCAACACTATATTATCGGTAAATAATGTACACCATGGGATTTCATCCTGAATGTGCTTAGTAAGTTAGTCCATAATAAATGTAAAAAGATAAGGACTTAAAGCTGACCATTGGTGTAAACCTATGGTAATAGAAAATGGTTTAGTCTCTCATTCATTAGTTCTTACCTCTAGTAGGTACTCTATCATATATATCTTTAATCACATCAATATATATAAGATTAATGGGTATCATATGCCATATGAGGAGATTTCTCCTCATATACAATGATGTGGCACAATCTCTAGCAAGTGAATAAAGTAGGAGAGAGAATGCCTCATAATTATACTTAGAGGGGGTTGTTCATTGGGATATTTAGAGGGATAATGAGATAATTTTAAGGATTCTATTTTATAGTGTTATTCATTGGGACAATGAAACAAGGATAATATATTTTTGTGTTATTGGTTTTTTGGAACACTAGTGAGATAATTTCACCACTTGGAATAAAATTATCCCACTTATATACAAAAATTTTATTCCAATAGTAAATATTTACCCTATCTTCCATATTGGAACAATTTTGTTCCACTTTGAAGGCAATTGGGATAATTTTCAAACCTTTTTGTATTAATTAAACTAATACATGCTAATTATATTATAAATATATGACATGATATATAAAATATAAAGTAATAATATATTCAATATATTATATTATATTATCATGTTATAAAATAAAATATTATTATAGTTTAATTATATGTATAATTTATTTTATGATGTTTATTGTATATTATTATGCAATATCACATACTATATTATATAATAGTATAACATATTTATTATAATATTATATAATATTTTAATAACATATATTAATAATATTATATAATATAAAAAAATATAATATTAATTAGTAATTATGATGCCTCTGTTTTCACACATGGCTGCAGTCCAAGGTGAACCCAGAGATGTCAAATCTATCATGTACCCACACTGTGTAATAACACGTTTCACCAATCACAGTAATATTCTCTAGTGGAATCAAAAAGAAGTATAGGTACAAAACAGGCAAAATAAGGTAAATAAATACAATAGACATGGTATAGAGGGATAAATCCCATAAATGAAACCATGTCTCAAATGAATAAAAAAGTAAACACCTGATCTCTAAAATAATGTAAAATATCTCGACATGAATCAACTGGAAATGTAACTAAGGCTCATAGCCTTTAGAAAACGAAATACAACTCAAATAATTGAATGGAAACATAAATCTACTGTGAAGCCTCTAATGATAATTCATGCGATGGTGACTATACAATAACTCCATCATCCCGCGGCTCTTCAAAACTTTAAGCTGCCTGACAAGAAATTTTAAAAACAAAAAGAACAATAACAAGAGTGTTAGAACGCTATATCAAGATCACCTCCATCCGCCCCTAGGAGAAGGGCTGCTAGATGAAGTGGAGCCTCTACCTATTTAGCATAGTCTACCTAGATTATTTTTCCCGTATCTATTGAAGTTAATATTTAGACACCTACAAGACGAGACATAGTAGGTCGAGTGAAATAATCCAAATAATAAAACCCTCATGTATATACCATATGTCTTAAATAGTGGACGCCTAAACATTAACACCAAACTAGAGATAATAAACAATCTAAATGAAATCAATAATTTGAAACCCACAACACGAGACTGGTACATCGAGCGAAATAATCCAAACAAGAAAACCCTCATGTATATACCATATGTCTCAAATTGTGAATCGCTAATCATTGATCCCATTCTAAGAATAAAATAAAGCAATACAGAAAGTAAAGACATTCATAATATCGTATT